TGTTTTCCTCTTCTAATCTCCTGGTTTGTACTATGGATTGCAGAAATCGCCCCCTCCCCCCGGCCCCCCACTGACCCCCCGAGGGCTGCCCTGGGTGGCAGTGGAGGATGAGGCAGAGAATTCCCACAGGGCTCCAGAGCCTCCCTGATCAGCTCTAAAGATGTGGCAAAGAGACGTGCAGGGTAGAGGGGCCTGCAGGGGCCAGGCAAGGCCAAGGCCACCCCTGGCCAGGAGCACAGAGCTGGCCCAGCCCCACAGCAGCACACGCACCCCCAGGTACCTCTCTACCAACTGTGGCTCAGGGCAGCTTATTTTAAACTGTGCTCTTTTTAAAACAAACAAACAAACAAACGAAACCGACCCAGAATGAGTCAATTTAAGTTCCTCCGAAGAACCTGTTCACATCAGCAACGTGACAAGCACAACCTGCTGAGAAGAACAAAGCCACTGAAAAGGTTTAACCCACAGTCCCAGGTGCGTCAGATTTGCCAAAAAATAAGGGTGAGATGTCAACACAATGTACATAGTGTATCATAGGGGAGAATATAAATGTATCTTAATTTGTCATTATTTTGCTAACCAAAGCTGTACATTTTTCCTGTTACTTGCTCTGTCTCCTTTGGGTTTTGAATGGGTTACAATATACTGCACATCTAGTCCCCAGCAGCAGTCCTGAAATGCACTGTTTCTACTGATGCTCATGCTTTTCCATTTTACTGCCGAGATTACATGAATTGTTGACTTTATTTTTACACAATAAAGAGTGAAGAAAAACACTGGGTTCTCTTGAATGTGTCAGTTCCCAGAGCCACCAGTGCTCAGGAGCTGATCTTAATCCACAGGAAGGTTCTGCCTGCAAAAAGCAGGAGTTTCTCCCTGCTTCTCCCGCACTCCTGAGCCTCTGCCAGGCTCTCTCCATCTCCTGCAGCACTACACGGACCTTGCCCTGGTTTATGCAACCCCATTGTGCAAATTAACTCTGGTTTTTCTCTCCCCAGGAGGCAGGCTCAGCTCCCTCGGGTTGCTCTGCCAGGCTGGCCATGGCAGGGACAGTGACCCCCACAGCTCCAGTGGCCGAAGCCCCTCGGGTCCCTGCAGCCAATGCTCCTGGTGCAGGCAGGACCCTGGGGCTCTCACTGCCTCCCACAGGCACGAGCTGCACTTGGAGCATTAAATGAGTCCTTCAGGGAGCCAGGCTGGGCTCTCTCTGCCATTCCCAGCAGGATCACTCTGAGAACAAACCTGAGCACAGGGGTGACACTGGGGCACCTGGCTTGGAGGGTGGCATGGCCAGAGGCCATCCGTGTGTCACAGGTACGTGGTGGCACACACAGGGCTGTGCCCCCCAGGGTGGGTTATGCTGTGCCTAATGCTGTGAATTCCCCCTGGTTACACATCTGCAGCAGAACAGACTTGCCAGATAAATAAATGGCTTTGAGCATCAGATACAAGTAGGAAAAGCACTATTTACTCCTTATAACCAGCCAGAAACAATTCCCCCCCTCATGGTGCAGTGTAATGGGAGCTGTGTGGGTCCTGCTCAGTACTGCTGCCTTGGGCACCATATCCCCTGGGGACAACAGGGCTCCCCTTCCTTCCTCCATAAGAGCAAGGACACAGTGACGCAGCTGGAGGGACACAGCAGAGCCCTCCCTGCTGCCACACTTGTGGCCAGTGGGTCTCAGCTTCCAGGGGCTGGGGGGGGTGGGCATGGGGAGGGTCCCACAGCCCCTTGTGCTGCATCTTCCCAAGCAACATCTGCAGCCAACAACATCCCTGACTAGTCATCCACCACCCCCCACCCCCCACAGCTCCCGCTGCCAGGGAACAGCCATCCCAGACCCTCTCTTTCCCCCAGTGCCTGCCACCCTAATAAAGCTGCTTTTCCTTAGGAGGGTTTGCTCCTGTGGATGCTCCAGGTCCTTTCCAGGATGCCTCAAGTCATAACCATCATAATACAGCCAACAGGGTGAGGTAGAGGAGGAGGATGCCCCAAGCCAAACTGCAAGTCTGGGGACCTGGTGTGTGTCCCTGTGCCACCAAACACAGCAGCAGATACAGAATTCCAAGCACCAAGCACTGCACCCTTGGCAGGAGCTGGTCAGCACTGGAAATCCTCCAGGGTAAGAGGTGAAATGATACATCGAAACTTTTAAGGCATTTTATTGAGCACCCCAGGGGCCAGGCCAAGTGTCACACACCATGCATGGGTCACTCCTGAGGGGGAAGAGGAAGGAAGCACAGATGAGCTCAGATGAGCTGTCCCTCAGATGAGCTGTCTGGGGAGCCCCGGGCAACGTTCCTGGGCGGGCAGGGTGAGGAGCAACCAAGCACGGGAACTGCCACAGGAGCACGACGCCAGAGGACACAGAAGGGGTGTTGAAGAGGATGGTGCCACCAAGTGTTTCCTACTCCCCGATTGCCCAGATCCCCCCCAGGCATGGAAGGTTTTAGCTCAGCATCTTCACAGCCCTGCAAAGGCAACAGCATGGCAGAGGTGCAGCCAGGAACCCCCCTTCCCCAGCAGCCCTGGGAGCAGAGCTCAGCCCTCTCTGGCAACGCAGATCCCTTCCCCCCCGCCCCTGAAA